TATGCAATTTTGCTATACACTGCTACCATGGTCATCCATTAACGTGAGTCAGGAGTTATCTTTCCACTTCTAGAGATGTCTAGCTTCATAGGACCAGAGAGCACAGAAAGAAGGAAAAGGCTTAGTAATTAAATGACCATTCCAGGCAAAAGATTGCAGCCTCAGAATAGGGACATCGTTCAGTGATAGCATACTTATCAAATAAATAAATATAGTTGAAGATGATGCATAGTGGGGAGGCCTTTTGCATAGTCTCTGGGAGGAGAGCCTTTGTATCACTTTCTGCTATCTCTAAACTGAAATAGTCATGACATCTTGTAAAATCTACAGCAGCTGCCTCCTCAGTCTCCATCTTCACCCATTGCATGCATTCCGTGTTTGGAAACTAATGTTTCCAAATGCAGGCCTGATCTAGTCTCATTTCTGTTTGTGTTCTCTAATCAGATATAGCATGCAAGCATGGATACAATCGTATGCACATATGTTCTACCAGCTGCAATGAACTCTAAATATGGAAATCCAGATTTCTATCCATCTTAACAACCTTCATTCATCAATTCAAAAAATTCTCATGAAATCTGGGCAAGGTGGAGCAACTCCTCTAATCCCAACACTTGAAAGGGTGAGGCAGGAGCCTCAAGAATTTGAGGCCCTAGAGAAGTGACTCCAAAATTCCAAAGAAAAATGTCTAATGCATACAGGGGATGAACCAGGTACTGTATCAGCCCCAGCAGGAATGAGCCAGGTCATTCCCATTCACCTGTTCAAAGCCTCACTAGAGAGAAGCGTTGGTGTGAGAGACAGTCATGAAAACAGAAAAGCATGATAACACAGATGAACTTGTATACATGCTGTACTGTGATTGTCAGGGACTAGGAGTTAGACGGATCCCTGATGGCAGACAGATAGTGGAAGGGTCACAAATATATAATAAAAGTGACAAAAGTAGAGTTTCTTCCTAACACTGCTGACCTGAGACAAAGGCCTGGTTGCTTAGGGATCCCTGCCTATGGACAAGTTCAAGGCCGGTACCAGGTCATGTTTACCCCAAAGTTGTGGGCTTATTCGATTCTCTGTCTTTGTTCAAAGTGGCTAACCCCTAAATCAGGAGAATAATATCCCTCAAAGACCTTAAACTGTCCCTTCAAAGAGAGGCCAGATTGGGACTCCCAAGTCCCCTCCCTCACTGCCCATCCTACCCACCCTTAGCCCTACTCCACATGGCAGAGTGTCTTTCTCTCTGTGTGCCTTACTGTAGTGTGTGTGTTTCCTCACCCATAATAAGTCTTTCTTTACTGGTTGATTCTGTCTGCTGTGTCTTAGATTTCCCATGGCTCTACCTGTTGCTCTCAAGATTATTTCTGACTTAATTTTTTAACTGTCAGAGAAGATGAACCCAATCAAGACCCATAGATGGTAGGTAACAATTGCACCAACTAATGCAGCACCACACAGAAGGAAGGAATCCCTCAGGAATCCCTCCTAAACGCTTGGCCAGCTCTAACAAAACTTCTCAGAATGTGATGCCTACACAGATACCTCAACATAAGTGAGCATATATGGTACCAGAGGACAACTTGAAAGACATACAACTACCTTAAAGCACTTGAAGTTTAGGGATTATGACTAGCTAAACAGTAGAGCATGAACCTAGCTCCTAAGAGTCACTGGGTTCCACTACCAGCACTTCAAAATAATAGTAACAGTAATAACAACAACAATGATAATAACACTAATAATGTATTTATAGTTGACTTTAAAGGGATCGAATTGCTTAGAGGAGTGATATAATACACTCTGTATTTAAACTGAGCACTGCCGTTTATAGAAGTTACTAGAGGCATCTGTTGAACACATACATAGGCAACTGATAGTAGCATAATAATAAAAATCTTGCAGGATGTCAGAAAATAGAGAAATTGTGGGTTACCTGGATTTTAGGACAAGATTAACTAGGCTCTTCTAAGATGTTTATTTTGATTGGAGAACTCAAGGGAAATCAGGTCTTTCTGGTTGGAGGCAGGAAGGTTCGGGGACAATACTGCCCGAAAGCATACAGAAATTCACAGAAGTGTGCATTGAGTTCAGTTCCATGGGAGCCAAGTCTAGAGAGGAAGGTAGGCAAAAGGGAAGCAGGGCCTCGAACACCAGGCTCAGGATTTGGACTTCACTGGTGGAAAGGAGTTTATGGAAGGTTATTCAAGGAAAGACTACCACGTTGCTTTAGAAAGATGGTTTATAAACTAAAATAGTCTAAAAATAGACACCATGTCTAAGAATAGGCAACCTGATAACAATAGCAATGCGAAAGGAAAGCATCTGATGCCTGAGAAGGCTGCAAGATACACAGGGAAGGAGCTGGGTACCGGGGGACCAGGGGAAACCTAGTGCCGCCTAGCTGCTACTGAGGGTTTGGAGGTGTTCCCAGAGAGAGCAGAGTAATCTAGAAAATGAGGATTCCCTTTTGTCAAGCTGTTTAACCCATGTCCACATGAGAGAATGTGGATATAAGGTTCCTGAAAAGAAGAAATGAAGGGAAAAGAAAGGGAGAGAATGGGAAAACAACATGGGGACAAACAGAGGCAGATCCTTCCTTCCCAGCTATTCCGACCTCTGGGCCTTTCTTGTGTTTGTAAGCATTTTCCTGGACAAATCAGTCTCTACGTCACTCAAGGGGCACTCCAGAGCCGTCTGGCTACCAAGGCCCTCTTTGTCACACAGTTTGGGTTGCTCTCTTAATTAACTCTTTTTGTCCTCATTAGCCATTAAAAAGCAAAGTAGTAAACTGAATTGTTTGACTGCCTCCACTATGAATACAAGTCATTTCTGTTTCCCAAAGCAGCAAGGTAATAGTACCTATAATAACCACCACCCCACAAAAATTCCAAATTTAACAAACAAACCTGCTACGCTCAATAGTCTATTACCTGAGAGAAGTTGATTCAACTGCTATCAAAGCTCTCATTCAAAAGTACAATTTTCTTGACAGACTTTGTAGAAGGTTCAGAAATTTTTGGCCCTTGGAACCCTTCTACTTTGTCAGACTCTTTCAAAGTCAGATAATTTAATTTCTCACAATAAACTTTGCATTGTTCTGCTCAGTGGTGGACAGAGAACTGAAGTTGCATTCTTTTGAGTATGACGACGTTAAAGGTCCTAAATTTCACTGGGGCACATCTAAGTGCCTTGGCAAGTCTATCTATCAATTACCAGTGAATTAATGGATTCTTCTAGATTAGCATTGCCATCATTCCACCAATGATTGCTGTTTTCATTGAGACTTCACAGAACTGCAAATAGATATTTGTTAAGCCTGATTAGTGCAGGAGTTTTTCTTGGCTTCTCGGTGTTTCCAAGCTAATTATGGGCTTCTTCCTGTCTCTTTTTGATGCTCATAATGAGAGTTTACATGCAAACTTGAGAGAGAAAATAAAGCTATCAACATACAATTTACCTATTGAGACACCCTACCTGCTTATAAACTAAGAATTGTATTACTAGTAAATTTAACCGATTTTCCTAAATAGTTTAGGCATACCCTCTACTATCTTGGCAAGGGTAGCCTAGGGTCTTTGGCCCCTTTAAAATTCACCTCCAGACACTGCCAGATAAGGCTATCCTTTAAGTCAGCATAGTATGTGACCTACAGATACAGTTCAAGTCCAGTCCCTAAACTTCATTCCAAGCAAATGACCACACCTACCTAGAAACTAGTCAGCTCTGCTTTTTTTTTCTTTAAAAGAAGATAATACAGTCAGCCCAGAAAACACCTACACTGGTATCTGCTTTATTTCAAAATATGTCATTAAAAAATGCGGATATTTCAGTCTTCGCAACTGGTAATTTCTCAAACATTGAGTGAAATATAAAAAGCATGCAAGAACTGGAACTAGAGATCATTTATGTTTAAAAATCCTGCATAAGGGCATCACAAAATCCTTCTAGGTCAAAGAAAGGCCATATGTAACAGCATCAGAAAACCCTGCATAGTGAGTTATAGACATTTTAACTGATGAAAGACATTACTAACAGAAACAAAATCACAGGGCCGGGGCTATAGATAGTACTAGAGCACAACCTAACAATAGTACTGATGAATGCCAAGGAATTGATTGGAGTAAAGTTTCCTTAATTAATATCAAAGATCAGGCTCATTGGAAAACCCCATGTTTCCAAAAGCAGATTTTGTAGAAGGTAGAATTTCCCAAAATAGAAGGCTTTCTGGCCAACCACCACCGCCCCGAAATGATAAAGGATGTACGAACTGCTTCGTCTGCTGTTTAACAGGAGTTGGTAAGCAGGAATTGGGGCCT